AGCAAGGGATGTAACTCAGATGGACAGGTGGAACTTGAAGTATGGAAACCAGGGTGGGGATAAGCTGGAGGGATGAGGAGTGGAACAGCAAGACAGTCCATGTCCATGGATTACATCCACAAAATCCTACACTGACTCTCACCACTCTCCTGCTTTCAGCAACTACCTATGAAACCGATTGGCAAAAATACATTCCATTATGCTTGTCAATAAAATTACACCAAACATCTCTACTTTGATTGCTTCATGAATGCAACTGGCAGAAATGGATCTAAAAGCTCTGGCCTTTCTCACAACTGCCATAGCTATCCAAAGTTGATGCATAATTTTTCAGGTTGGCTTTCTCAAGAGTTTGGAAGTCTCAATCCCACTCAGGTAATATTAAAAGAAGATCAAGGCAGTAATGCCAAATGCTTAAGAAATGAGGATCAGAATTCAAGCAGTCTGCACAATCCTTCTTTTGCCTTTTAGGTCCCTTCGCTTATTCAGTGCATAGATGAACCTCCTCAAGAGGTGAATTAACTTCCAAGTGATTAGTGCTTCTTGCTTCATTTCTTTCTGAAACTGGAAAGTAGACAGAACTGTAATTTGAAGTCTGTCTTTTGAGAACAGCAGTCCAGACTTGGCTATGCCACAAGTGAAACAAGAAACATGTGGAATTGCTGCTCATTACATGTACAACACACCAATGTGGAAAAAACTGTGTGGAGAAAAATAGGACACAATCTAACAAGTACAGGCATCAAATGCATATGCATGCAGCAAGGGTAGCATTAAAATAGCATAGGCATCCTCAATACCAGCATTTCTTAACTCAAGTACTTGACTTCACAAATCAGCACACCGGCCAAAATTCAGAAATTTGCTTGCCTTCAGAAAGTAAATATAGCTTTGAAGGACAGAATACCTATTCACTGGGTAATAACTTGTACTTTGGGATGATTTTTTTTAAGACTCAAATTAGCATTGTTTATTACACATCTTCATATAATTCACATTGTAAGTGTAATGGGCACAGCAGTTACCTGTGGTGAGAAATTTGATTAATGACAGGAATTCAAATTCTGTTCTGTAAAGCAGACTGCAAACAGCAAGCTAGCACAGGTAACTCTACCAAGAAAATAAGGTAACCCCATCTGTTTCATAACACGGACTGTCAGCAGAGGGCAGAACAAGGTTTGAATGAAAAAGAAAACCCCACCAAAGAAAAAGCTTTCACTGTGATAAGTGACCTCAGGTTAATAGTCTGAATGCTCAGCTCTATCCTGAGCCTTCCTCCTATTTACAGCTAAGCCTCTGAACCCCCAGTTAGAAAGGCATGTAGCAGCAAATGACATGTTTAAGAGACAGGATGTAAATGCAGGCTGGTTGTGCCTTCTGCCAACCACAGTAACGAATACAAAGAGACACTAGCAGAAAATTCTCTAATAACCCTTTATTCCCAGACTTGCAGAAGAATAAGAAAACTACCCAAGTAACAACATCAAAGACTGTACTGTGAGGAAGCACGCACGCACGCACATTGCTGCTACTTCTACTCCATCTCCCAGTCCTCCCCAAAAGCCCCCCTTTCCAGAGTCTCCACTCTCAAAGGCATGCATCTAACCGCTGGGCTAATTCCTTGAGATTGTACCTCATTTTTCAATTGAAGAGGGTCAGCTGCTCCTCTGGGACTTTGTTACAACAAGCATTTCTAAAGAAAAAGACCATAAACTAAAACCGGTTAAAATCTCAGCAGCAGTCCTGCAGCAGTAATGTACCAGCTAATGATGCAGACTTTCAGTACTTTAATGTTACTTTGAAATAAATATTCACAGAAGTAAAATCTGACATGTTAATTCATGCTTCAGCTCTTTTTGATGGGCAAGGTAAACCTATTCAGACTGATGAAACAGTGCCAGAACATGCCGACACACATTGCACTGCTCCATGTACTGCCTGCATAAACCCCCCTTGCTGGTTGCTCAAGACAGAGAGGAAAGTTGTCCTGTCTCGATAAGACACAAGGCAAGCTCTGTCTTTTGAAATCCATATCCTGTTTCCAGTTGAAAAAACAAGTACTAGAGCAGGACAATCAGGTTACTGAAACCTGAGAGTATATTTCAGAAGGACCAACCGGCCCTGTGGATACCTCCTCTCCTGAAATTCGCACCTGAGTAACTGCCAGCAGGTAGGGTCTTTTTTTTTTTTTTTAAATTTTCTTTTTTTCCTACTTTGTTGTTGAACCCATGTATACTTCAGTCCCCTATAATATTCCATGGGTTTTGGTTTCACAATGTATTTATATATAGCAGATATCAAAGCCCTTGATAGCAGGCATCTCAACACAGAAGGAAAGTCAGCTGGGGATCTGAGGCCAGCTCTACATGCCACTGTTCAACATACCTAGACCTTTGGCCATCCTACATGACCACGTTCAACACATTTAGACCTTCACCCATTCTACATGACACCGTCCAACATTTTTAGACCTTTGACACAGTATACGTCACCTACACTGACGTTGTGTTGGTGAAATTCCCAGTTTGGATGCAGTTCTGCCAATGGGTGGCCTTGCCAGGGATGTGGCAAGGTGGTCTATATAGCAGACCAGCCCAGTCTGAGATATCACTGTGCTTACACCAACCGTTCTGCTGGCAAACTCTGTTGTTTCAAGTAATATAATCTCAATCTATAAAATCAAGGTTTTGCTCCCTAAAAAAACTGCTTTCCCTCGCTTGAGACTGTTCTTTGAGACAATAAAGAGACTTTTCCACCTGCCACTGCATCCTGCTGGGTACTACTGAATGAAGAAATGTTATGTTCAAGTTTTCATTTACTGACTATACTCTGAGGGGGGAAAAAAGGTATAAAACTGCACGTGACTGCACCTGGATGACACTTTCTATTGGCAAAAGGCACTTTTTCTAAATTTTAATTATGGTATATCGCTGAGAGGCTTTCAGGTACAGTCAACATGCAAACAACAAAGGCTTTGCAGATATGTTCAGTAAGATTTAGTGGATTGTCCTCTTTATTGATAATTGTCTTCTTAAAAGTTTTCTTTAATTAAAAAAAAAAGCTGTTTATTATATTGCATTCAGAAATCT